GGATTTGAAGAAGCACCATAGTAGCCTATTGCTCATATGGACCACACATTATATGTTTTGATGTTTCAGCAAAGGATTGATGCTGTAGTAATCAGTCTGTAAATATTCACTATTGTCTTGTATTTCAATGAAGCAGAACTGACAATTGAACAGGACAAATGTGATTTATATTTTGGAAATATAGGCATTTTCAGTGTAGTGAAACTTGATGTTTTGCTGTGTTGCAGAATGTATTTGCTATTCATATATACACATAAAAAAAATTCTAGTCATTAAACAGTGTATTTTATGGATAATTGGCTCATTTAGAATAACACAGTTGATATGATTGTTGTTGTTGTTGTTGTTGTTGCTGCTACAGCAGTTAAATTAGGTTAGGTTTATAATGTCTAAACTGCTATTTTCATGCAGGCCTTCCTACGACAAACAGTAGTGGCTTTCAGGAAGCTAAAATTTTATACCGGTTTATTACGTTATAGCCTTCTTATGACTTTAGCGCCCGGCTTTTGAGAAGTCGATTTTTCTGTACGTTTTATTACGCTATGGCCGTCGAAAGAATATGAAGGTGTTGATTTCTTAAGTTTAAAAATATATTTGTAAAACTTTAATTGAACTTTTTCAATAATATCAACATTTCCAAACCCCCAAATTTCACATCCATAAAGTAAAACTGGCTTTACCACTTTGTCAAAAAGATCAATCTGTAATTCGTATGGTAAATTTAAATGTTTAATTATTTTCAAAAGTGAAAACAATGCCTTATTTCCTTGGTCTGCTATGTATTTCTTCATTGAAATAAACGACCCACTTTTAGTAAAATAAATGCCAAGGTACTTGTATTCTTTAATAATTTCTACTTGGTTATTGCCAATATAAAATTTCAAGTTTCGTCTTATGTTACCTTTACTAAATATAAGTACTTTTGTTTTATCAACATTTATTTTTAATTTCCATTGATCACAATATGATTTGAAAGTATTTAATGCATTTTGTAAATATTTTTCAGATTCTGCAAAAATTACAGTATCATCTGCATACAAAAGAACAAATATTTTCAAGTACTTTTGCAAATTTTCCACATTCCAATTTCTACAAAATCCATTAATATTTTTATCACATTAATAATCTTCCAAGTCATTTAAAAATAAACTAAATAAAAACGGGGACACATTTTCGCCCTGTCTAACACCAACATTTCAATCAAAAAAGTTAGTAGAACCTTCATTTGTTACTACTTTTGACTTAATATTACTATACAAGTTATAAATAACATAAAAACATTTTCCATTATTTTTTTCTTTTCGTAATTTATACCATAGACCGTCTGTCCAAACGGAGTCAAACGCTTGTTTAAAATCTATATAACAACAATTAAGTTTCTTACTATTAGACTACACGAAATCTATTAGGCTTTTGAGTATAAATAAGTTATCATTAGTTGAGTAGGATTTTCTGAAACCTGCCTGAGATGTTTTTATGAGTTTTGCCTTTTATGCATATATATTTAATCTGTTATTCACAATGCATGTGAAAAATTTGCCAAAACAGCTCAAAAGTGAAATAGGCCTGTAATTTTCATAGGAACTCTGGAACAGGACCGCATATTGCGGCGCATAAATCCGAATCCGTACCTGCTTTACATATTGTTTGTCCGACCTTTGAATATCTTTTCATATTATGCGAGCGGATGGTCTTTTATTATCTAATCTCAATTTAATATAATCTGCTAATTTAAAAATCAGTCAAATTTACGGTATATTGAAAAAGAAAAGGAGTGACATCCGCCATTTACCGCAACGTTCGGCGTAAGTTATCCCCCTTGATATGCTTGATTTTTGTTTTGATTTTTCTAGTAATGAATACCAGATGAGTGCCTAAAATATTTATCTATGGATCATGTTTTAATATTCCTTTTTTTCAGTTAGGCAAAATCAGTTGAACCATTATACTAAAGTGTCTGTTTTCTCCATTTTAAAAAATCAATACACGAATACGCCCGTTATAATGCCGCCTATACATGTCAACACGTGTAAACAATAAACCGTTAACGTTGTATCCGGGCGATACCTGATAGTTGACAAAAATAACGGGAACAAAATTCTGAAAAAAAGTAACCAATTGTAGCCAAAGGGGAAAAATTCATGCCGAAAACGTTGCGGCGAATGGCGGATGACACTCCTTGTCTTTTTTTATAATAACGTAAAATTTGACCAGTTTTAAAAGAGACAGTTTGGGTTCAATTGATAATATATTTTTTGAGTCCATACACTTGGATAATACTAAAAGATCTTTATATGTAGCAGAACGTTTTTAAAAACCGTTACACGATCGAAAATATACGCCGCAATCTGCGGTCCCATTCTCGAGTTCCTATGGTAATTTTCAGGTAGAGAAGGATTTCCTTTATAAATAAGTTTTATTACACCAATAGTCCATGATTCTGGAATTAACCCAGTGTCAAAAATAACATTAAACAATTTACAATATACTAAAATCATGGTATTGGATGATGATACTATCTGTTCATTTATTATATTGTCAATACCTGGGGCTTTATTATTTTTAAGTGTTTTAGTAGCTTAACGGATTTCAGCTTCAGCAATTTTCGAGTGAATTTCTCCAGGTAAAATATCATTGATTTCGACAGAGATAGGACAATCATTTCCATTTTCAAGGTCATCACAGTTCAATTCTTGGAAAAGTTCAAAGAAGTCATCTAGACTTGCATTTGTTTCTGACGCTTTTACTTTAGGGTTAATAACTTTCCAGTACATTTTTGATTATTTCTTTTAATGACTTTAATTTTTCAATTTTCAATTTCGTTTAAATCATTTACAGATACAATTTCATTAAACATGTTAAAAGCTAAATTGTCTATTCTATTTTCAATTTCTGCAATTTTCAAAATATCTAAGTTTTCTATAAACACCTCTGATTTTTCAGAGTCCCAGAGCTTTGTAATAGGATCAGTAATTATCTCTTTTACATATTTATTTGTATGATAAGTACGATATGTTTGTTCATCTTTTTTACATTTGAGAGTTAATGATACAGCACAATGGACATCACAAAATAAATGCACTTCTATTTCATCAATATACTTAAAAACATAAGAGGTCGATACAAAATAAACCACAACACTTGCATTTGTACATGTAGTTTTAGGATTTTTATAGTCTGGCTCTTCTTGACCATTTCAAATAAACAAATTATTTCCTTTACAAAAATCTAACATCTTATATACATAACCACTTACAACAGTATCAATTGACTTTCTATTTAACAGACATGTCAATTTAAATGCACATTTGAATTTAACTTCCTTGATTATTGATATCTGTTCGTAAATATCAAATAAAGAAAATCAGATTGGCTATAATGTTTTAAGGAGAAAAAGCAACAGGATTAAAATAATGAACTACATTTTTTTTGACTCCAGAATTTATTTTGCCTTATTTGTTAACCACAAAATTATTGTAATAAAGTATGATAATTATGGAATTTATCTTCTGTTAGAATTCTAGAACATTTTGTACATACTCGTAACAATTCTCGTTCAACTCTGTTTTGTCGACGAAGCCGAATTTCAGAATCAAGAAACCCTATTCTTTCTGCTCTTTGAACATCGTTTAAAATCAAGATTTTACATAAGAAGTTTAAAGAAGAATGTCATTCCTGTTGACATATATCTTTTAACAAGTTATAAAATAATTTAAAATTATTGTTCTATAAATATAAATTAAATATATGATTATATATAAATCGATGAATATTACACTATTTTATAGATTGACTACAAAACCGAAGGTCAGAGAACAATTTGATATTTTATGGACAAGCGGACATGTGAGGTGTTAACATTTTTGCTGATTCACTTGATCTGAATAAAAAGTTGCATTCAACACACTTAATGTCCTGGATCATTAGTTCGGACAGTGCGTGGTCAATCTAGGGTAACGCATATACTTTGTCCGATTAAGAGGCCACCGAACTGATTACGAAGAAAATCAATAAATTGTCATTATCTCGTTATGGTATCGACAATAACTGCCCTACCTGTAAGAGTTCGCTATATCCAAAATATACAAATACAAATGTACATAAAGTAATTTTATGAGCGTTGTGACAAATGTATCCGGTCAGATGATTGTCAAGGGTAAACCTGCACGTGATGAATATCCGAACGACCTGTTTCTAAATGACGATAATCACTTATTCGTTATTACGCCTTTTGATTCGCGTAATTACGCCTTTTTTCGCGTTATAATGCCTTTTGATTCGCGTTTTTATGTCTTGTTTTGCGTTATAACGCGAATAAAGGCGTAATTATGCTTTTTGATTAGCGTTAAAACATCTTTATTCGCGTTATTACGCAGTTGAAGGTGTGAAACGTCCATTTTGTTATTTTACACGTACACGTATGTCCTATTTACAACTGAATATATACAGAAATATGAATGTAGGTTTCCAAACATGTTTGTTTTTGCTCAAGTGATTATGTACATGAGAATTTTTTAACATGCTTCAATATTAGACACGAGATGTGTTTATGTACAACTTTTAAGGTGTAGGTTTGATATTTCAATCTAAGTATGTATAATATATACGTTATTGTCATCATAATAATAAAAAATTCTGTAAATTTTGTAACTCCCAGAGCATGTACTGATCATATTTAATATCAAACATTTAAAACAAATTTTGATTATTTCCTGAGTTCAGATGTAACTGTTTTAAATTAAGAATATATATATGAGCCGTTCTCCAGAAAAACCTGCAATTATGACCAAAATATCGAATTTGAGGTTTTGAGCAATTATTCAAGTATCATCATTTTCCTGTAGAATGCAAAAGAAATTTTGAAATTATCTCAAAAGTTACCCGAGATACAGCCTTTCGCGATAAGGCACTGTCATGTACATAATCATGTAGAAATAAATCTTTCAATATACCTCAAATGAAACTTATAAGCAATTGAAACAAGTACAACTAGGCATACATGTAGTTTGTAACATATTCATTATACTTGTTTACAGAAACCATTTGATAATAACATAAAAAATCATCATAACAGGAGTCAGATAATGTCTTTTCTATCCGTTGCCATGGTAACATAAGTGTTCTAATTAAAACTTGTCTAAGTCTCTCCTGGACATGTTTCATCTTGAAATATAGGTCGCACATAGGGCCGAACTGTGCTGTAAAGATATCTGCGTCGTGCAGCAGACATTCCACCTGGTTGGAGTACTTGTGGCAAGTGTCCCCGTTCAAACTGAAAGTTGTTTGATTTCATGATGGAGAACGTCTCCTCGGCTTTATCGCAGCTCTCTTTAACCACCACCATTCCAGGATGATCTCGGCTCATACGAAAATATTGATACTTTCTGAAAGGGGTAAAATATACATGTTAATGTCATTATGAAAATTTGTATGATAATGATAACTATAGAAGCACTTTAAGGATTAAATTTGTTCAATCAAGATGATAAAATGTTATACTTAACATGTATAGTCAAACATATGTTAGATACTACCTCTGAATAGGAACCACATGACCACATATTTTGTTTCAAATTATCACATTCAAAGTGCAGTGTGTTTAACCTGTAAAGAAAGACCACCCGTCAATAAAGACCACAGACCATACCCGATTGATCTTTATATATAAGTTTGACTGTAATGTATGCACTTCATAGTTATGTTCAAGTATATTTTACAATATCTCTTTACTTAAGCTGACAAAAACGCAAAACTGTACTTTTTACTCTTAAATTACCTGATGCCTTGGAGCGGTTTGAAGTACGTTTTCAGAAATCCTTTCCAGTCTCGCCATGTCCATGTAGGGTAACGGATACACTGGCTTGTAGATGATGATTGATTTACAACTTCCGTAAGTTGGCCAAGAGCATCCGTGTCTGTCCTTCGGTAAAGTTGTTTTATGCGGGCAAAGCCAGCATCAACATGGCAGCGAGCGTGACCAGGTATCTGCATCATATACTCAATCTTCTCCTGACGTCCAGACAGAACACGCCACATTAAATATCCCAGCATATAGTAGTTTTTATTCTGTCCTGAAATAGAAATAAATACAGTAAAAAAATTAAAATAGTTGCTGTACTATGTTGAGTTTAATTAGATGTGGTAATTAAATCTTGCAAATTCACATTAAAATCATCAATATTTGTTATTATTATGATAATATTATGAATATCAGTGTGTGAAAACATGTGATAAGGTTGCCGACTTTTATTATTATTAACCCTGCGCCATCTGCAGGAAAAGTTTAACAGCCTTTAAAAACATATTTTTGAATCAGATGATAGGCCATTTCATCAGGTTCCAAGACGCTTGTCACTGACATTGCTTCTTACAACTTTGAAGCAAAGTGGATTAAAGCAGACGACATTTTCAGCAGACAACAATTTTTTCATGTTGAAGATTTATGTTTCAGAATATTTTATGCTAATTGAATTTAAGAACAAAGTTTGTGATATAATATCGGTTGACTTGTATTTCTTTGATAACTGACTATGAACAACATTGTTCATATAATTAACAGTATGTGTACGAACCGATAGAAAGTGCTATTAAAAGTTATTTATATAAACACCAAAGTACATTTAAGTATTGAACTAATTTGTAGCAAAACAGTGTTGTTTTTTTTTACAATTTATGAACACGTGCATGCATGCACGTTCAACGTATAACGCAATGAGTGATGAATTATTACAAAACGCAATTTTGCTATAAATAATTAAGTAAATAATTTCAATTAATTTATAAGGCACTTTATGACGAACATACCTGGGCAATTATCGGCATGTAGTGAAATTGTTGGTCCCTCCGCATGGTCCCTTTCTATCACCCAGTCCACCATACTGATAACAGCGTTAGGTCCGTGAGTTTGAGTACCATCAGGGCCAATAGTCTCATTCTCGTCTACAAGGAAGTTGTATTGTGTTGATGTTCCGTCATTGCGTACACCAAACAATTGCACTTTGCGCAATGTCATAAAATAAGTTGGCCCCATCTGTCTTGAATGGTGTGGTAGCGATAAATTCTGGCTGAAATCAAAGGTGAAATGAGAATGTCGCCTGTCCCCTGTCTCAAACAGACCTTTAGCATTTGCAATGCATGTGTTGTAGACTTCTCTTTCTTTTTGTGCGTTGACAATGTGCTCTCTAAGATTTGCGGTGCCCTGCAATTTTTCATCCTCGGTTCTGGAATCCATCACAACTTTTCTTAATTTTTCACAAGTTGCACAAACGTCGTCGCGTGGAGATGCAATTTTGATGTGTGGTAAACATTGCTTCCAGATGTTGCAGAAAGTTTTATAATGAACAGCCCTTTTTGTTGGTACAGATTCAAGGCATGATGTTTCGTATTTCTTGTGAATATCAAGTTTTGTAGTAGCACTTGGTAAGTAAACTGGTGGTATGTTGTCTGATCCACGTGGTGCAGCCGGTTGTGGTATACCTATGTCTTCAGCAGTTTGGGAAACATATGTCACCGCATGTTTAATATCTTCAAACTTTAAAGATTTGACAGGTTTTTTCCCTTTGTTGCCGTGAATTCTTTGAACCACACCATGCTGATCAACATGTGTTAGGATATTTTGAAGAGCGCTCCGCTTGATATCAAAGGCCAACATAAACACAGTCCTACACACTGGTTTCCCAACTAATGAAAAGTCATGGTGACCTTTCTGACGTTTCTTCCCGCGCTTTGTCAATTCATTCTGAGGGCTGTTTACTACAGTTGCCATTATATACAGTTCTTTATCTTGCTTTTCCATTTCCCTAATATTCAATATGTGATCAAAAATGTCAGAAATAGTAAACTGTTTAATGCAGTTTTTCTTGCACCCACAACCATTCTTATGATAAAGGGTAATTCTGTTCACGTCTTCGTCATTTTGGGGCAGATCACAATCAACTTCTGCTTCACCCTCGCTGTCACTAGTAACAGAAGCCCCTGTTATGTCATCTGGAAGCGTGTCTATGTAATCTTGGACCCGCTGATCAACATCTAACTCGGGATCATCTTCGTCCGAGTCTAAACACAGGGTAGATACATCAACCTCCTCCTGCGATCCCCAGGGTGTCGAAACGGGCGTCACACCAAAATGCTCGGAAAGCAAACTCTCCAAATCCTGTAAAATAAATAAATCCGGTGAGTACTGACAATTATGGCAAAACATACAGCTTCTGCGCTAATTAATGGGCTAATATAAAATAAAAATATTTCAGTCACTGCAGAATACAAATTTTCCTTTAATATACAAATGCTTGTCCACAAAAAAATCATACACAGACTGCATTTTATTTTGACTGAATCAATTAAAGGTTAATTTGCTTGATAAAAATTTTTAATTTAACACAGAATTCTACATAGCAGTTTATAAAATATGATTGTTAAAAAAAAAAAGAAAAAAAAAGTTCGCGCGTCGGGATCGAACCAGCAAAACACTGACTAAGAGTTATTGACACTAACCCCTCGGCCATCACAGCATTCGTGTTCAGTACTGTATAAATTAAGTGATTTAACCTTAATCGCTCAGATTTAGATCAATAGCATACCCATTCCGAACCAAAACCAACTAAATTTTCTGAAGTTTTAATAAAACTTATCTTCGTTGAAATATATTGACATTATTAAAAAAAATAATAGAGATCTAGATCTACTGAGTCCTTAATAATTTTTGAAATATTGATTCGATGTCATTCTGGTAGTGGTGGGGTACACAGAAATGTCTTCAAAATTTAGCGAATAGATCTACATTAATTTTATCTGAAAAACAATCTTAACGAGTGTGTCAAGAAATATATGAGAGCGAAATCAACCGACTCTTTGCATGTTTATTACTGTGTTAATGCTCGGTATAAGTTACAATAACCACGCTAATAATCGCTATATTATTTTGTTTACGCGCCATATTTTCCTGATTCACTCTTACGTAAAATACATCTACAAAATGTATACTGTATGGGAACAATTGCACAATTAATGTGCGGCATACCTAGTTCAGAGTTGATAAAATATATAAATACAACATACCTCTATATCGTTATCCATTTTAATTTTAATTAGTGTTGGGTATCGGACTCAAAAATCACTATCGATAATCGGATCACCACAATCGATTGTCTTCCGAAAGTATAATCGAGTTTTGCAAAAAAAATTTGGCCCTTTTTCTTTTACGGTACCAATCCTTGTATGTATTTTTTTATACAGTAGTGACCATATTTTGAGAATAAATAAGCTATTGTCTCCTTGATTTAAGTAAGATTTACTCTTTGAATTCAAAACAAACAACACAAATACCTAATACTACTTTGTGACAGGCGAAGATGAATTTGCTTTGATGTTCAGGAAATCAAAGTCGTTCAAATTGCCCACTTATTCACTAGCCATGTTTTTTCTGTATTTCTTTTTTGATAAGGCAAACAAAAAAGACTATTGGATCCTTTGGAATTTAAGCGATTTGGTCGGGAAACTTCTATTTGACCGCGTGTAAAAAAGTTACGCCCTAGGCAATTCAGCGGTGATAGAACATTTAAATAATCGATTGTTAAAAAGGACTATCGATTGTTGCCGATTTTGGGGTGATCCGATTAGTTATCGATTTTCAGAGACAATCGGGACAACACTAATTTTAATATCCAGAAAATGTCAAAATTTATCATGTAAACACTGATACATAAAGGTCACTGAACTCACATGTGCTTTCAAGTATGACGTCATATTTATCGGGAAATTCCCAACGTCATAATCGATGTCATTTTGGCAGGTTTTCCTGGAGAACGGCTCATATATAACTTTATATAAAGAAATCTATGTTCTGGAAATTTATATTAAACAGTCTGTATGCAAAATATGGTGAAATGTAAAAGTATTGGTACTTAATTACTTCCAAAATAAAAGTAATAAAAATACCGCGTGAGCTGACAAGTACTGGTACTGGTATTAAAGGAGTATACAGTACTCATATTACTAATGTATTTCCGATTGTGTAAAATGGTAGTTTAGCCATAATAGGTACTATTGCAAACCGTTTGTCCATTATATCATTGTAAATAGTTTGCTATAAAAATACCGTATGTATCGACAAGGCAGGAGTCTGATTAACTTGATTCTGCAATGTCCAGTCTACCATCGACAGCACATCGTCAGGTCCGTTTGTCCATTTACCATACCGTTGTTAATTAGGAAGTTGAGTTGTTGTACGATGTCATTCAGTCTTACTCCGAGTATCTGGATTTTACACAGGGTTAAAAAGTATATTGGGACCATTTGGCGAGAAAAAAGAGGCAAACTGACGTTCTGACTGAAGGGACAAGCTTTTCTTCATTGTCACGTATGGCAACACTGCGCCGTATACCCTCATTACCTAGTATGAAATAACAAAAAAGAGATCCATCATGGTTAAACATAAAAAGTGACATTTTGCCCATCCAAGTATAAATGGTGGGTGAAAAGGTCAGTCAAAACATCTTGAAATTTTTACTATTTTTGTAATTTCCAGAGGGTGTTCCAGTTATATGATTTGTTTTAAAACAATTCGGTGACTCTGTCGGCGTCTTAATTTCGTTCAATATATGAAATTATAACTACGCTTCAAACCAAAAATATATAGTATTTATACAGAAATTCATGCTAGGACTTTAGAGAATGACATTCTAGCATGATTTGAGTAAATAACATCAATTTACTCTTTTTGTCATTCATTTGTGTAAGTATCCCTTTAATAAATTCTATAAAAATATATACTTTATAGATACTAATAGATACTTACGTCAAACTCCTCCTCCATCTTATAAAACTTTCCTCAAAATTCCGACGTGTAAACTTTAAAAACTTCAATAACACACGATAAAAAGCATTTCGTGTTAACATGTGTCACGCAAGAAGAGTGACGTCATTTAAATCGCTGTAGTGCACATTTATTGGCGTGTCATCAAGTCGTGCGTCATATGTGTAAGTTTCATTTATACTGTTTCATATTGTCACAATCTAGACATGTAACATTGTTGTCTTCGCTGACTTTATATACATGTACTTGGTTATAACGCCTAATGCAATATGTCACAATCTGGGCACGTGAATTTGCTAACTTAGTCGAATAAATACTAAGTATTGATTATAAAAATTATTAGAGTATGTCAAGATTTGGTCACGTGACACTACTGCTGCTGACAATGTTTAATATATACTGAATATATACTGAGTTATATTAAACTATACCTATTATTAATAGTAAAACATCACAAAGGAGAAAGTCGTTGTTAAGTTTATAAATATCTTTCAACCCATTACCCGATCTTCACGCCTTTTTCACCCCCCCCCCCTTTGTTGTCTCAAATAATGAAAAAATGATAGATAGATAGATAGATAGATAGATAGATAGATAGATAGATAGATAGATAGATAGATAGATAGATAGATAGATAGATAGATAGATAGATAGATAGATAGATAGATAGATAGATAGATAGATAGATAGATAGATAGATAGATAGATAGATAGATAGATAGATAGATAGATAGATAGATAGATAGATAGATAGATAGATAGATAGATAGATAGATAGATTAGATAGATAGATAGATAGATAGATAGATAGATAGATAGATAGATAGATAGATAGATAGATAGATAGATAGATAGATAGATAGATAGATAGATAGATAGATAGATAGATAGATAGATAGATAGATAGATAGATAGATAGATAGATAGATAGATAGATAGATAGATAGATAGATAGATAGATAGATAGATAGATAGATAGATAGATAGATAGATAGATAGATAGATAGATAGATAGATAGATAGATAGATAGATAGATAGATAGATAGATAGATAGATAGATAGATAGATAGATAGATAGATAGATAGATAGATAGATAGATAGATAGATAGATAGATAGATAGATAGATAGATAGATAGATAGATAGATAGATAGATAGATAGATAGATAGATAGATAGATAGATAGATAGATAGATAGATAGATAGATAGATAGATAGATAGATAGATAGATAGATAGATAGATAGATAGATAGATAGATAGATAGATAGATAGATAGATAGATAGATAGATAGATAGATAGATAGATAGATAGATAAGATAGATAGATAGATAGATAGATAGATAGATAGATAGATAGATAGATAGATAGATAGATAGATAGATAGATAGATAGATAGATAGATAGATAGATAGATTAGATAGATAGATAGATAGATAGATAGATAGATAGATAGATAGATAGATAGATAGATAGATAGATAGATAGATAGATAGATAGATAGATAGATAGATAGATAGATAGATAGATAGATAGATAGATAGATAGATAGATAGATAGATAGATAGATAGATAGATAGATAGATAGATAGATAGATAGATAGATAGATAGATAGATAGATAGATAGATAGATAGATAGATAGATAGATAGATAGATAGATAGATAGATAGATAGATAGATAGATAGATAGATAGATAGGGAGATAGATAGATAGATTATTGATATAAGATGTGTACAAAATGCACATGGTCACAAAATACATACATTCAAATATAATTAAACATCACGATATCATCAAAGTTAACATTATTTAGTAGCAAAATGTCATACAATGATAAAACTACATCTTTGGACTGCATTAACAAAACATGGAGAATGAAAAGAAATAAAGTAATATTACTAACAAGATAACATTTTTATAATTATGTCTGAAGATTCGGTTTGATTTAATTCCCTGCGTTTTAAATGCTTGTTCTATAATAATTTCCCAAATTTAACAAGACTTTTTTCTTTTAGAACTTAATAAATCAATAAAATTTGTACATGCTCGGATTTTTCACATAATATTTTGGTATGAATTTATTTTTTTGCATGTGATCATAAAATGAAATTCATCTTCTATGTCATTACCGCAGAAATAGCATAATCTTTCATTTCTTGGTTTTCGATTACGCCCATGTCTAAGAGATTCTATAAAAAATTATGCGACGACACGCGCAATCTCTAGTTATGCTATTACGTATTTTAAACGAATTTATTTTAATCAAGTAATCCGATATACAAAGCTCGGTTTTTCAAATGTATGTACGAGGATTTCAGTATTTCATTTTTTCTCATATCTCCAAATAGTTTTCTGTAAGGCACAATCCGTTTACTGTTTTCTTGAACAATTTAAAAATAATTTGAAATTTATGTTTTCATGATTTACAAAAACAGAGCTAAAAACCATAATACCAAGCAGTTTTTTACATGGAAAACCCAATTCTTTCTACCATTATAATACTGCGCCAATGAATGTGCATAAACTGATTTTAATAGCATTATTATCCGTATTGATAATCTTGACCCAGTATTAATAATATGTACAAAACGAAATACTTATAAAGGATAGCGACCCAATTCTGCATATATAGCTGCGTTACTTGTCGATTGTTTACACCAAGGATTGTTTGCAAAAAATGTAGATAATACGTCTAATTCCCAAAATTAGTAAACCCCAAAAAGGAAACCATAAATTTAAATTCGATCCACGAATGCTAAAAATTGCAAAAAATATCCGGAAGAAAGTTATATTTTTGATTTATTTAACAAATTTTTCTGCCCTTTAAATGCTTTGCCTTTTGACTTTTAATTTAAAGCGAAAATCCGTGTAATTCAAGTTTTAAAAAATTTATAAAAATTTCTAAATGTTTTTTTAAAAGAAAAGTTCATTTCTTTTCTGGGCCCCCGTTTCCCAAAAAAAACAATTGGTTTTTGCGTGTTTATTCCCCTTTTTCCCTTTCGGAAAGAAATTCAGTTCATTTTAAAATTTTACAGAAAGCCCCTATTCCTTCATCCGCAAAAAACAAAAAACGAAAAATTTTTAATGGTTGGCTAGGGTTTTTT